TTTTATAAACTACTATAGTTTCTTTTACAATCCTCCTAATTCATTCTTGATTTGTGTCCTTTAATTAATAACTAAAACTGTTCTTTCTAAGCTAAATCCTTTGTTTTCATCATCTATAATGAAATGATATAATCTTTCATAGTTCAAAAGATTTTTTTTTAAATGAATATTCTCAATAAATCCTTGCTTTTTCGCTCTGAATACAGAATTTTAGAATTAATAATAGAATTCTTCTTTGTTATATTTTTTTTCCTCTTGAAAGTTTTGGGTTTGTTATATAGTATAATCTTATTCTAAAATTAAGGTCTCCATTATGTTCTACTATTAATTTCCCTATCTTTATTTTATCATAATTTATTCTTCCCTAACAGAGTAAAAAATAGAATCTTAACTCTCAAAATTTTAGGTACTAGTGGCAGTAAAATCTGAAAAAGTAAGACAATGTTTTGTGAATGCACACATTTCAATTCCAAATAACTTGAGAATACTTAACATTGATAATTATAAAAATGTAGGATTACTATCAATTACTTCATATTAAGTAGATGATTATGATACAAATAAAATAGCATGCAAATTTTGATTTTTATTATAAAGATGCTCTTCAATATATTTAGATATTTAAGTAATTCTTTCTTAATCTTTTAATAGACCTTCAGTATCAGCTAATCCTGGTGTATCTATAAGGTTTATAAGAATATCACCAATTATAAATTTATATGATGATACTTCATTAGTATCAGATTAAGCTTGTTGATCTTTCACTTTTACTATTTCAAAATAATCTAAAGAAAACTGTTTTCCTTTTTCTCTAGGTTTAAATTCTCTTTCAATGGCTGTCACAAAACTATTGATAAATGTGGATTTTCCTTATCCTGTTATTCCTACTATTAGTATATTTCTAATTTTATTTATATTATGAGGAGATTTATTATAAGTTAATCTTTTTAGATTCCCAATATCTTTAATAATAATTTAAATATCTTCTTCTTTTGATTATCGTAACAAATAGTTATTTAGAATTTATTTTTCAGCTTCATTAAGTCTTTTGCCAGTTTTTGTATTTGAATTCATTTAATAAGAGGAGAGCAAGTCTGCCATAGATTTGATATCATTTATTTTAAAGTATGTTTTCCATTTATCTTTTCTATCAGTATCAGCCAACAATTTAAAAAATTCAATCTCAAGATCATTTTCATCTTTTTTTTTTAGTTTAATAGGATTTTCTTCTTTTATAGGATTCTGCTATAAAGGTTGGGAAGATTTTTAATTTTTGATTATTTATTACTTTGAATTTTGACTATTGCCCATCTATATCACAGATAGATTTATTAATTATTGTTTTTAATATCATAATAATTACATTAAATATATGTATAAATTAATATATTTTTGAATTAAAATTTATGTAATATGTAATTATTATCTTTTTTATATATGATAAAATAAAATAAATTATGATGTTTGGATATACTGTTATAATATATTCAAGTTTCTATTATTTTATTCTATTAATAAAAATTCCATTAAATGTATCTATATTGAATATTAAAGAGATCATAAGTAATTGAATAAGAAGAAATCTTAGTTTAAAGATTTTAATTAAAAAATGGATGATAATAAATAGATAAAGTTAATTAGATAAATAATCATAAATATTAAATTCTAAAATAATAAACTAGTTAACATTATTGAATAAGTGATAACAACATTAAAATTATTAATCATTATTTATTATTTATATTTGTATACTCATATGAGTCTATAGAATTATTTAATTTATGAATTATTTATATAATTTTATTTTATACATTTTTCATAATCCCTTATTAAATACGATTGTCTTAATCTTATTTCCTTTACTATTGGTTAGATTTTAATATTATGATTCTAAATCGGTTGGATTAACCTTTAAATATTATGGGAATATTCCTATTCCAACAGAAAGACCACAATATAAGAAGAATCCAGATAAACCTAGGTTAGCATAATATGAATACTTAAATCTAGTGCTAAACCTATTGCTCTCCCTTGAGGATAACATTTTGCTTATTTCATATAATATATGACTATAGGTGGTATGAACATAGGCAATGGCAAAATATATCTTGTAACAAGAGTTCTAAAGAATGCAATTTTAGCTAAACAAATATTAATTGATGCATTTACCTGCCTCTTTAGATAATCCTGGTAACGGTTCTTATGTTTCATCATCAAAAACTTGAATTCCCTTTTAGAAATCTGGATATCTTGCAAAAAATAGATTAAATGTATTTGCAATCAATACACCAAATAAGGGACAAGCCTTTTAAATAATATAAGATTCATAATTACTCTAATAAGAAGTGCAGGAGCATTAAGTTTCTTGAAAAGCCAAGATGTTCCCAAACTTCCAACTACAGCTGATGAAACTGCTCCACCATATGAAACTAATAAGATGTTATGAAAGTATTACATGCCAACATTTCATTGGAAAATACATTAGATGCATTTCTATTACAATAATTAAACATAAAGTTATAGGTTTGATTAGCAGATTGAGCTAATAATTGATTGATTGGCTATGAATGAAAATAAGAATTACTGTTGGTGGTAATACTGCTAATCCAAAAGCTAAAGGTACATTTACAGGAACAAATGTTGAGGTTCTGAATAGAATGTTAACAGGTTCTTTTAATTAAGGGTGAATGTTAGAGTCCACTACATATCTCATTTTCCATAATTATTAATCTGTATATTATTTTCTGATTGATGGATCTTTGTCAACGTTTTCTAAAATTTTTCCATATTCACTCAATTGTTCAGGAGAATAGAATATGTTGCTATGATTATAAGATATTCAAATACGCAGGACTAATAATGTTTTAAAAATGCTTGAGTCTTCCCCAATAAGTGGTTAAATCCTCTGCTGAATCTTCTGTATTAGTATATCTCTTCATTAAATAATTAATAATGTAAATAAAAATTTCAATATTACGTCACTTTTATATCCTTGATATTAAATTTTTGTATAAATAAATATTCAAGATTCTCCTTTAAGATTCACATTGAATATATTATTAAACATTTTCTGTTTCATTTTTACAAATAAATTATGTTTTTTAGAAATGATCAAATTTATTTATTAAATAAATGATTGTATTATAATATGAATTGATCTTTATTTTAAAAGAATCTAATATTTATATGGATATAAAATATGAGAATATGGGAATAAAAGTATACATTTTTTAATTTTGAATGATATATATAATTACATTAGAGAGACAACTATAGAATTTGTATTAATGAGTTGATTATTTTATTTTATCATAAATTAATTAATGGAAATTGAGAAAGAAATTATAAAATTGTCTTCTTGTTAGAAATTCTTGTTGATTCAAAGTTTTAGAACTATGATCAATATTATTGATTTAGAAAATTTCAAATAGAAACAAATAAACTTCAGAAATGCTGAAATTTCATTTATTGATTACTATGATAATGAGTTATTGATAGGAGATAAATAAGGAAAAATATATTACAAAAATGAATCATTTTAAGTTCATTCTGGCTAATTTTTATCAGGGATTGTTAAAGATGGAATGTTGTTATCATTAGGTTAAGATGGTTTATTAAAATAAACTAATATCAAAACATTTTAATGTCTATACTCTAGATAATTATGTAATCACATAAAGGAAGGAAATTTATATCTTTTGACATCTCATGCTTTAGTTTAGTATGGTTAAAAGATAATATTAATCAATTTAGAAAATGATGTAAAATAATATCATATTTAAGGTAGTAGAAACAAAGTATAAAATAAATCAATAAGGACCTTTAATAGTAAAATTGAACAATTTATCTAGAGATTATTTTTCTGTTTTAGGCAAAGAGGGTTTATTGAAAATATTCAAAATAGGTGACAATTCAGAAGCAATATAAACTATTGAGATTGGAAGTTATGAAAATTATGAATTATTTTATATGACAAAAAAGACTACAATATTACAATGGAATCAAGATAATATTATTGGATATGTTTTTGAAAAAGAATTAAATAAATAATATGAGATAAAGATAAATAATTTATAATCTGTTATGTAAGGAGAAAGATTATTGATTGTATATGATAACATAAGTAATCCTAAATTAAAATAGATAAATAATATTGAAAGTTAAAAATTCAAATCATTATATTAATAAGAATAATTACTAAGATTCAATGAATTATAACAAACTAAATAGGATGAATTAAATTAAAATAAATAACAATCAAATCCTATACCTATTGCTTTTTATGATTTTGCTTATTTTAATAATCAAAGTTCTATTATTAAAAATGATAATATAAAACCAAAATAGATTATTAGTGAATAAAATTTGATTAATGTGCTTAAATAATCATTGATAGCAAAAGATAAAACTTATTTAGAATATGCTTTAGAAAGAACTCTTTAAAGTGGAATAGTAGAATCTGTAAACTCATTATAACTTGAATAATTATAAGAGCTTTAGCATTTCATTGTAGATAAATTGATAAGTTATCCAGAATAAACAAAAAAGTATTTGGATTGGATAAAAGCTATAGTAAAAAGAGGAGTTGGAGATTTCTCTAAATTATATTATTTATTAGAAGAAAGAACAAAATCTATTAATAAATTAGAAGAAATATGTTCAAAAATATAATTTAATAAATTAACACAGAAACCAAAATAGGATAAAGATTATAGAAAACAATAACACACTATTTATGAAGAATAATAGACTGATGTTGTAATTATTTAAGGAAATGTTACTTAAAAGTAAATAACTGAAATTAACTATGGAGAAGATTAAACAAGTTAAATTGAGGATGATTTCAATTAAGCTTATATTAAAGTAAATAATAAATTGTATATATTTAATAGCATAAATAAGAACTTAGATAAAAAGCCTATTAAGATATTGAAGAGGAAGCATATGATGAAGAAGATATAAAATTTTGATTAATTATGTATATATCTATATAAAGTCAATCAAATTATCAATTTATTATAACTAAAATCTTTGATTGTAATATCTGTTTTTAATTCTAGAACAATTGTATTCAATTAAGGAATCTTATTAAGATTTTGTTATAATTAATTTACTTAATTCATTACTTATTCATAAGGATCTTCACTTTATTATTTAAATAGTTTTACTGATTCTATAAAATCATCATTTTGATTTAATCTATTATCAAAATCATCTTTATAAACTAAACTTGTTTAAACTAATTAATCTATATCATTTCTTATTAATTTTAATTAATACTATAATAATAATAATATTATTTAATTACATCAACTTTTTCATTAAATTCTTTTTATATAACTTAACATTTCATTTTAAGTTAATCTTATATATTCTCTAAGTATTCTTATAATTATTATTTTGATTATTCAGCTTGATATTTAACTTTCTAAATAATGAAAATTAAATTACATTAAATAATTACATTTATTATAATATAAGATTTCCAATAAGTTCACTTTATGAATTATCTTTTTTTAAAAATATTAAAATAGGTTATTCAATGAATTCAGTCAATTTAACAATTTAATCATGTTTACATTAGAATATTTTATATTTACATTCTCTACATAATAAATGAGTATCACATTTAGTTAAACAACAAATGAATTATGCAATTCTCTTTCTTTATTATGTTTTATTGATATGTCTAATACATTAATGATGTTATGGAGATTGTTGTGGTGAATCTGAAAAATCTCTCTCTCTTTCTCTAGAGGTTTATACATTAGATCTACGAGTTGAATGTCTTTAGAAATAATTATCAAATCTATTTGTATGTTATTTTGAATCTTCTGGAGGTTCCCAAAGTGAATTCATATCAGATCTTCTAGTTGCTAATACTTTGACCAAATTTAGACTAGCCTTACTAGAAATGTTATTTTTATTAAGAGAATGTGGTTTAGTATGAATATTTTCCTTCATTAGATTAACATGTATGATTGGAGATTTGTCTCTTTTTTACATTCGTTAAAAAATATAAATTTATATATAATTTTACAAACATAATATAATGTAAGAAAAACCTCAATTAATATTGTGCACAGAAGAAAATATGGATGATTATAAAGAACCTAATTTAGAGGAAAGTGTTGAATTTGTAGAAATAAAACATGATTATTGTGATTCAAGACCATAAAGACATAGTCTCCCTGAAAGTTTAAGTTAAAACATTTTGACATAAATTCATGAACTTCATGAGTTCTTACCACATAAAGAAATGTAAATCAAAGTATAAGAAATTACAAAAAAAGAAAATAGAAAATTCACAATTAGAGTTTATTATTTCATAAAAAGGTTCCTTACTAAATTATCAGTAAGTAGAAGACATAAATTATTCTTTAAAAGCATACATTTTTAAATTGTAGGTGATAAAGCAAGTGGAGAATTAGAAAAATTAGGTTAAATAAAAAAAACAGATAAAAAAAGAAAAAGACATGAAAATACAATTTCTTGTTATAATCCATTAACTAATCTATTAAAAATGTTACCAATAATATATCCATAATCAGTATCTAAAATAATTTGGGATTTATGTTTATGTATAGTATTAATTTACTTTTTTATTATGATTCCATTAGAATTAGCTTTTAATAATTCCATTATGTATTTCTAATCTATTTGGTTAACTGTTCCATTTTATTTATTTCTTATTATTGATTACCTTATGAAAATGAATACAGTTTATTATGAATATGGATAACCAATAATAGATAGATCATTAATTTTCAATAATTATTTCAAATAAGGTTTATTAATAGATGGTATTTCATTAATAGTATTACTTTGTGGATTTTTTAATGATTATTTTATTTAAAGTAGATGGTTAAACCTTTCATTAATACTTTTCATTACTTAATATCATTATTTTGCTAAAGTAGTTAGAAATATGGAAGAATCTATTCATTTAAGTAAAACATAATCATCAATTGTGAATCTAGCCAAATTAATATTTACAATTCTTTATTTTCTACATATTTATAGTTGTCTATGGTATTTTATAGGTTCTTATGCTAATGAAATAGGAATGGTTAATTGGTTAGATAGTCGTCATCTATAAGAAGCACCTTATGAAACATAATATTTAGAAGCTTTCTATTTCTCTACTGTAACCATGATTAGTGTAGGATATGGAGACATAGTACCTTTAAGTAATATATAATAGTATTTTAGATGCCTTAGAAAAGATTTGTACAATCCTTTTTATGTTTACTACATGTGTTTAATTGTCATTTAGTGTTAATACAGTAGGAGAGATATTAAATTCAATTAGTTTGTCTACTGAAAATACAACAGAAAAGATTCGAATTATTAATAAATTCATGAATAGAAAGAAAATCAGTTTTGAATTGCAATATTAGTAATTAAATAAAATAGTAATCATAGAATAAGGGAATATATTAAAATATATTGGAGTCAATAATTGCAATAAGAAAATGAAGAAGAGGAAAAATTAATTACTTCATTATCAGAGAATTTAAAAAATAAATTAATACATGAAGCTAATTTTTCAATTATTGAAAAGTGTGATTTATTTCAATAAACTTTTTCTATTGATACTAAATAAAAATTAATCAAATTATTCAAAACAGTACTCATTACTCCAGAATAAACTATTACTTGTGAATTACCATAATATAATGAACCTTGTTTATGTTTTATTGATTAAGGAACATTAAATATTTGTGCCAATATTACAGATAGATCTGAAGGTATTATATTTTCTTAAGGTTAATTCTTTGGATTAGAAGAATTATTAACTGGTTAATAACCACAAATATAATTACAATCTTTGTCATTTGTTAAATTATTAATTTTAACAAGAACTGATTTTATTAATACTTTAAGGGATAATCCAAAAGATTATGAATCATTTTGTTAAATGAAAGATGAAATATTATTACATTAAAGAGATTCAAAAACAAAATGTAAATCTTGTAATTGTATGGGTCATGATATTTAAAATTGTCCTATTGTTCATTATGTTATTGATAAAGAAAGAGTTATTAAATCATATTAATTTTAATCTGAATAAATTAGGGTACCAGGTATGAGAAATAGAAGTCGTATTAGAAATTAATTTAATGCTATATTTGATTAATGGTTTTTATAAGAAATTGCATCTATGATGAAAAATCATGAAGATTTACCTATTGTATAATTTTATGGAATCTAATATGTAGATGATTCAGAAATTAAATCACCATAATAATAATTATTATAATCTAAAGATTCATTAATTACTAATGAACGTGGATCATTTAGTTATGTTGATTAAGTTATATAAAATGCTGTTAGTCCTTCACCTCCTAAAATATATGATCATTCTATTTTTCGTAAATTTTTAATATAAATTAGATCCTCAGAGTAAAATTTAAAGAAGAAATTATCCTAAATAAAGTATAAGAATTAAGAATTTTGGTATCAAAATTAAATTCTAAAAAATAATTAAGAAAGTTATGAAAATGCAAAACTATTCTAAAGCATTTACTAGATAGAATGATATAGAATCAAATCATAGATTTAATAAAAACATTAAATTCATAGTAGATAATTATTTTAAAACAAATTCAATAAAAGATTATTTAAATAAAGTTGAATATGAAAATCTATATTTTCTCAAAATGAAATGTGATTTAATTTAATATTCAGAAATTATTTTATCCAAGCCTTTTGAAATATAAAAAGAATATTAAATTTATCAAGTTCATAATAATTTATCACATGTAATTAAGAAAACAGATGCATATTTAGAATAATAAAAGAGTAGAATATCTTTTAAATAAGAAACACCAAAAAATGATAAATTAATATTATTAAATTAAGAAGAAAGAAAAGTTATTTTAAAAGATAGCCTTATTAGGTATCTTTCCTATCCAAATTTATACTTTTCAAAATACTATGATAAAAATGAACCTTCTGAAACACCTTAATCAATAGGATAGAAGAAAGCTAGAGCTCTATTCAAAGCTTACAAGAAAAGATAAATTATGAGATAAAATGCATTTCTTTTGCCTCCTTCTCAAAAAAATGATACCAAAGGGCTTAAGTCTTCTTTAGCTGTAGGAATAAATGTGATAGTGCCTGAAAATTGATTTAATATATAAAATAATTAAATTATTACTGTAGTTTAATAATTATATAATAAAAATGTAATATGATAGATCATTATTGACAGTTGATATATAAGGAGCCTAACCTAAATCTAGAAATGCTTACATGAATAGATTATTGCCACATTAATTGAGATATGAAGAATAAATAAGAGTTTAGTAATGAATATAAAGTCATGAAAAGACAATAAATTCCAAAATAAGATTACAAATTTGGAAGAAGAAGATACTAACATGATTTCCATCACTTTTGCAACATTTGTATTCCTTAAGGGGAAGAGTACTTTGAAAAAACCAATAAGAAACACTTCGTAATTCCAGAAGGAGAGATCAAATAATATAGAGCTTTAGAGAATTATTACGATCAACCTAAGTATTATAATTGTTTTTGATGAGGACAAATTGATGCTGATAGGTTGCTATGTACAAATGACATAGATGGAGCAGTTCCAGGTTCCTTATAAAGTTAAGCTGTTCGTAATCATGATGTAGCTTAGAAACTGAGAATATAGAGAGATGAGTAGAGAGCACAAAAAAAGAAAGCTTTATATTAATCCCAAATAGAATAAAGTTATGAAGTTTAAGAAGAAGCATCTCCATTACATTAAAGAAATAAATCATTTTCAGTTCAAATATCACCTGTATAATAAACAGAAGTGAAGGCTTAACCCTATGAATATATGAATAAGCCTTTAAAACTACCTCCAATAAGTGATAGAGTAACAACTTTCACAAATCCAACAAGCAGTAAATTATAGCTTCGATAGAACCCTAAAATATATTTATCTTAGGAATAAGACAAGACATTGAAATTTATATAGAAGTAGCCAGCATTGAGATTATTTGTTTGATATAATCATGAATAAAATTCCTACTGATATTGCTTATTTTATCTCAAATAATGTTAAGGTAGATTCCATTTGACATATTTTTTCTACTAAACTTATTCTGTTGGTTTTTTTAGAACTCCCTTGTCCATACTTTACATCTTAGGTCTGTTCACAGTTCCAATATCTGACAAGGAAAGTGGATTGGAACTCTATTCAACATTATTAGAAAGGTTCTTATCAGTATCAGCTTCAAAAATGTATAACGATCTTGACTTAATGAAGGTTGGATGAGGTTTACGCTTCTTTTTTTACTTTAATGATTCTGTTGTGATATTACAATAGTCAGAAAGCAAGTAAATGGATTTGTCAGAGTTAGATGATTTACTACGACTAGTTGGTTTCCGTGTTGAAGAGAACTTAGATTGCCGATCTGATGAATCACCTGGAGAACGTTTTTTGGATCGATTTCTAGTAGATTATTCTGTGAATCGATTGCTTCTATTTGTACGTATTTCATTTTGATCACATGAACAATCACAAGAAACATAATTAATGTAGCATTAACATTAACAATTCCCAATAGTAATTGTTCCCATTTAATTGATAATTTTAATTAATCATTTTCCAAATATAAATCCTAAAATGAGCGATATTGCAGCAATTATCAACACTTGTTTCAATTCAAATTTGTTACCTATTTAATAATAAGATATATAATATACCATGATGTTTAACAGCCACTTCTTATTATTTCACACTCTTTAACATTAATTGATAATCAGAAAGTTCTTTTTACTATAAATATATATATATAGAACTTACTAAAGAATCAATTTGTTCTTAATATCTCTAAATTTCTTCATCTTTTTCTTTAGATTATGAATCAATAACTGATTAATACATTTAACTCACATTTTCATGTGTCTCTGAAATCACACTTTATTACAATTCTTATTGAATAATCTCTTGTTTTATTTCTTGTATTTTAAGTCTACTTTTCACTTATACTTATTAAATAAATGATGCATCTTTGTATTTCCAAAAGTTAGCCAGATCTTTGTTTTTACATAGATTATATACCCTATTCATCATTTTGTTCAATTGTGCTAGCATTTATTTGAAATTTAGAGTTTAATTTGTTCTCTTCTTTTATTGGCAACGTTGTGGTGATATCAATGGATGCTTAACTGTTTGGTTAAATGATCCCCATACTAGGTTTAACTTAAAACATATTTGGTGTTGTAGTTTTGATCTTGTGATGAGAGTATGGTTACTTTGAAGGATATACTATTAGGAGTCAAGTTGAAAATATTGAGAGTAGTACTTGCTATTAAACTCTCATGAAGAATGAAATCTAAATATTGTTTTGGTTCGATGTCAATTAATCCTTACATAAAATATATTGATTTATTTTCATTATATAAATGAGTCTTTTAATCCAAGGATGTTTATAATGTTATTTCTAGCAATTGGATGATAAAATGCTTCATGACTTCGGAATGTTTAAACAGCAAAATCACTAAAATACAATAAAATAATACTGATCCAATTAATTTAAAGCTCTATAAACTGGATAAACCATTTTACCTCTTCCTACAGATCCAAGAAAATCTGCTACCTATGTAAATCTACTTTTGTCTCCTACTGTTAGAATTGCTCTGAACCATCTAAACTTTAATTCATAATCATTCTCTTCAGTTAACTTTAAATCCTTATCAATTTAATTAACAACATTCAATTTTAACAATTTGCTTTCAGCTTTCTTAAAAAGATCTTCTAAGAAAACTTGCTTTTATGAATGCAAAAAGTCTTTATAATCTTACCAATTTGGTGGTTATTTACCATCGGCTGTAATATAAGCATTAGAATAATCTAAAGCTTAAGTAAGCTTATTGGTTGAAAAATCAAGAAATACTGGTGGTAATCCTGGAGAGTATACCCATTTATTCCAATTTTCTAAAATCTTATATCTCTTTGTAGAATAATCATCTACACCTTATTCATACAAATATCTTAATAAAAAGTTCTAAAATTCTTTTTGATCAATAGATTAATATTTGTATTATGCTAAATATGCTCTAAGCATATTTTAAAAGTCTACTTCCCCTACTATAGATTCTAAATAAGTTAAAAATTAATATCCTTTTTCATAAGGGATTTCACTGAAAGAATCATCTGGATTAAGTCCTGTTGTATCAGGATGTAATGAAGAAAAATTACTATCTAATCCATAACCAAGCATATCTTAATACATAGATGTATTTCCTATGATAGCATTTAATTTAATATCATCAGGTATCTTATAGTGGATTAAAGATGCTTTTCTCTCTAGAAATACTGTGAATCCTTCATTAATCCACATATTAGCCCAATTAACACATGTGATTGTATTACCAAACCAGGAATGTGCCATTTCGTGAATAGTTACTGCTAAACCACTACCTGTTCCTGTCATGATAGAAGGATTAGCAAATGTTAAAAGTGGATTCTCCATACCACCAATAGGGAATGAAGGAGGTTAAATTACTAATGTGTAAGTACCCCATGTATAGGGTCCAATATATTGTTCAATTGCTTATAAGAATTATTCCATTTCTTTTAATTCTTCAGTGTAGGCAGCAATTTTATCAGGTTCACTAACCAAAAATGTTCTAATTCCAGCACTTGTTGGAACCTTTTAAATGTTACCTGCCACAATAGCAATAAGATAACTTGGAATTGGGACATTTTGAATAAAATATTTATATTTCCAATTGAAATTAGCTTCATCTAGTGGTTTATTAAGAATTTTGAATTGATCTTTACTTTCATCAGCTGACATGAAAACATCTTATGCCTCAGTATCTTTGTATATGATGGTAGCAGTGTAAGTTTACTTGATTGCTGGAGTATCCTATAAAGGAGCCAATGCTCTACAGTTTGCATCTTCACATTATGAGAATAGATATGGCATAGCTAAAGTTAGAGATTATAGTACTTTTAGTGGAAGTTTATTCTTTTGTCATGAAGCTAATGGATCTGGATCTAGAATCAATAGAGTATTTGATTGATAATTCTATATATTCACCTCTGTAATAAGTTCTATCTAGTTGAATATTTAGGCGTTGACCTTGATCAGAGTCAGCATATGGACTGTCAATTGTATGTGGAAGTAATATTCCATTTTAAAGGTATGTAGAATAGATGTTAAGTTTATAGATATCAAGGGAAATCTAGAATAAAGTAATGTCTATACTTTGTTGATTGAACGACCTACAACTTAAAATGAATAAGAAGATGAAGCATTGATGTATTTCTTATCCATGTTCAATAACCATTCTAAATGAAGATGTCTATTTTGAACATCCAAATAGTTAGAAAAGGTATTCACATCAATCTCATATGCATGTAAGCATATAATAGATGATATCACCAATAAGATCATTAATTAATGTTAATTTTATTAATTATTAATATATATTGTCTTGGGTAGATTAAGACATTAGAATTTTTAAGTGTTGATAAATTAAACTCAAAAATTATTAATGAAATGGATTATGTTATACTAAGTGTAAAAGCAATAGTTAAATGTTTTATTTTCAAATTTAGTTGAATTTATACTAAGAATATATCAATTAATCATAGTTGTTGTTTGAATGAATATATAAATAATGTAATAATAATAATTGCATAATATGGTGTAAATTTTCAAATAAAAATATTAATAATTCATGAAAGAATGTTTAAATATGAAATATATTTGGAAATGTCAAAATTTAGGAAGATGGTTATAATAAAATAAAAATTTCAATTTAATAATAAAGATCTTATATTAATATATGTTATTTGTACTATGTTAATAAAATTATGATAAATGACTTTTAAAATATATTAAAAAATGATAATTCTCAAATGATAGAAAGAACTTAATAAATAATTTCCATAATCTAAAAGTAAATGAAAAAGTTTTTTCAGATGTTTAGTTTATTTTTATGACTCTTTTTTTCATTTTGGCATTTCAAATTAAATGTAAATTTCTAAATAATCTAATAAAATATTACTTTATACATATATATATATCAAATACTTATATTAATTTTAACTAGATATTCAAATTAAAATATACCCTTCATATAAATTATATCTTCTTATAATTAAAAAACAAATAAAATAATTGATTTAACATTAAATTCACACTAAGATGAATGTGTACTTATGTGAGTTTATTTATATAATTTAATTATATGAAAAAAGAAAGAACAGATAATTAAGTTTAGCCTATGATAAAGAACAAAAATTAGGTTTAGAATGAAAAACGTAATCTCTCTTATGATAAGTCTGTATTATTAATTAATGATAGTATTAATGATTCTCATCCATATGAAACTCCATCAAAGTAAAACTTCACAAGCAGAGAAGATAATAAACAATATTATTAAAACAAAAATGTTTAATCCAATAGAATTCAATAGGAGGAGTAAAATATATTTTTATTAAAGCTCAAAATTACCTAATGAAATCAATTATGAAAATGATTTTGAAAATTAAAAAATATCAGAATACTCCCTTGAAAGTATAAGAAGAGAAGATCATATTGAAGATAGAATTAATAGACATACTTTACATAAGTCAATTCATTTGTATTCAAGATTACTTAAATCATCTTCTTAAAAATAGAATAAAGAATTAAAACAAGAACCAGAACCAGAAAAACCTGGTATCTCTATGAATCTATTAAATGCTTTCAATCAATAAAAATAAATAGAAGCATAGCCTGAGTATTTTAATGATGTAGAATATGAGAAAATAATACGCAGACATTCAAAATTGATTAAAAGAAATACAATGAAAGATCCCTATTATGTTAGATTAGTCAAATTATCAGAATTTGAAAGATTAAATTACGAATTACAAGTAAGGTTCTGTCATTATTTAGAAATACAATGACAATATGCCTTTTCTTTAGATTAGAAAATATCTATTATTCTTTATATATTGTATTCCAATAATAGCAAGGAAAATAGTCAATAATGTATTTTTTAAAATTCTAATGACCTTTCTCATTCTATTTAATGTTGTTTTATATATAGTTGTTAAAACTAATGGAAGAACTGATACAGATAATATTGAAGAAGCTGTGATGATACTATTTATTTCAGAAATAGGATTGAGAATAATAGCAAGTGGAATATTCTTTAATGATTATGCTTTCTTTAGAAATATGGAAAATATTTATGATTTTATTTTGATTTTCTTTACAGCCATGAATATCTATTACCCAGAAGTTATCATTATAGATGTTTCTCCTTTGAGATTAGTTACATTATTGATGTATTTAACAAACATCTTTTAAGGTTTGAATGTAATGTTGACAGCATTAAAGCAATCATTTAAATATCTTATTGAAGCTTTAATGATAGTAATATTATTTTCATTGATCTTTGCATCAATGGGAATATTTCTATTTTAAGGTTTGTTTAATTATAGATGTTAATACGAAAATGGAGATGAGACAGATGATTGGGTTCAATGTCATTAGGACAGATGTCCTGATGATATGAAATGTATGTATAGTGAGTATACACCTAAAATGCCAACATCTTTTAATAATTTAATAGGATCCTTAGGATAAATTTTAAGAACAATTACAATGGATGATTGGAGTTGGGTTATGTTTTATACAATGAGAATATTTCATCCTTGGATTTGGTTATATTACTTATTGATAATATTTATTGGGGGATTCTTTGGATTTAATATAGTTATTGCAGTCTTGAAAGTACATTATTCAGAAGCTACTGAAGAAAACAAACAACATGAAGAGGAAATGGAAATTCATAAGAGATTGTAAGAGGAAGAAGAGTTTCCAGAAAGAGATCTACTTGAAACTTTAGATGTAGCACATTTGAGAGATATTGGAATTTATAAAGTAATTAAGAATTACAGAACTCTACTTAATGAAAATTCATTTGGAAATTATGCTATAGAAGATCCATCTACTTTCAAAAAATCATATTAAACTACAAGAACTCTATCTGCTAGATAAAAATAATTGGAAAGTGGGATTATCAAACTTCCATTTGTTGATTTTGTTACAAGTTTTACTTGGAAGAGATTTTTATTACCAAAATTTTATATCTTAGATGAATTAATTAAGAAAATCAAAATAAAGAATTACACAGAAGATGAGTTTAATATGTAAGTGATTGAAAAATTAAAGGGAATACAATTTTCAAGATTATAACCTTAAGTTAATAAGGAAGTTAAATAGAATTTCACATCATAAAATGAAATTCTACTAAAATTAATGTATTTTTATTATATTTTATAATTTTTAGCGATTAATAGGATATTATTTAATAAGAAAAAATATTCAATTTAGATAAGATTAGAGCCACAAAGTTTAAAATGATCTATCACCAAATAAAATTAAAAAAGTAAAACTAATTCAATAAAACAAATCTCAATAAGTCTCTTTTCCCTACCAAAAGCAAAACTCAATCTCCATTTGTGAGTATGCTATAAAAGAAAATAGAAGATTCAGCAGATTCTCTAATTTAATTTGATAAACTTGTTGATAAGCATTCTAAATTGGCTCAATCAGGTATTTAAGATATTGTTTTTAAATAATTTACTATATATAAAAGTGGAAAGCCTTATGTTTTCATTTAAGGATATTACACTAACTATGAAGGTTTATAAGAAAAAATTAATTAAAAAATTCCAATAATTATTCATAATGTGGTTTCTAATTAATTTAAATATGAAGGAATGAGAATGAAAGAGTATTAGCATTAAAAAACAATATGTAAACATAATTGGTCAGGAAAAGATGTTCTTGGAGTGAGTAAATTAAGAATGAAAAAATTTCATTCAATTTTAATGATGCTTAATAAAGTAGACATAATTATATGGATAAAGGGTTTTAAGGGAATATATATAATGTCATAAAAATATGCATACATAATAGTTACTACTAGATTTAGTTAATTCTTTTTTGATTTAGTTATTCTGAATAATTTCACATTTTTATCTCTTTAAGGAATAGTAGACATATCTATAATATCGACAGTTGAAGATATTTCAACAATTTTGTTATGCTGTGAATTAGTAATGAGATTCGTGGGATTTAAATTAAAAGATATATTAAGATCAGCTGATATGATATTGTAATCAGCTATAGTTATTTTAAACTTTTTTGAATTGATAATGAGTGATTATATGACTACATTAAGTGAATAAAATTTAAGATTAATTAGAGGGACTAAATGTTTATTATTTTATAGATGTCTAAAATATAATAGAATGGCAATTACAATTGGTCATATTGCTTCTATGACATTTGATTAATATATTTATTTGGCATTTTTAATGTTTCTAGTCATATTCATGTATGCTTTAATAGGAATGGAAATGTTTGTAGGAAAATTTGATTAAATGGATTCATTAGGATAATTACATTCATATGAAAACATTTTCAAATCTTTTATGACTATATTCAACATAATGACAAATGATGATTGGTATGGTGTTTATGTAATTGGCAGTGACATAGATCATACTTTTTCTATTATTTATTCTTTTTCTTTAGTTTTAATTTTAAATTATTTGACTTATGGATTAGTTATGGCAGTATTGTTAGATGGTTTTGGAAAGTATTTAAATTAACCAATAGAAGAAATTTAGAATGAAATAAAAAAGAATATTAATGAATAATTATAACATATAACACAAAATTCAGATGAAATGTAAATGAATTTAGCAGATACTATTGAAGAAATTATAGATTCAAATAAAAATATCCCTCAAGAAGATTCTGGTAAATCTAAACCCAATTTAATATACAATCTTATAAAATCCATAAGTAATTTATTATAATTTATAAGTTAGAATAAATAAATAAGAAATTATTATCAAAAAATCCAAAATTATATGAAGGTATTGAATGTGAATAATCTCTATTTTTATTTGATAAAGAAAATCTATTTAGAATTGTTTGTACTCATTTAACTAGTTCATAAATATATATATATTTAATGGATATTGTTACTTATTTGTCAATAATTGCTTTTATACTTAAAACCTATAATGATTTTGAGTAAGATAGTGAATCATATCCAGATACTATTTAATTTTCTTGCAATATAATCTAATTGGCTGATACTATATTTAATGTTATTGCTAAAGGACTTTATATGGATAATGGATCTTATTTAGTATCAACATTTTAAGTTCTGGATTTTATTTATTAAGTATCAAATATCATAGCATTTGGCAGTAATCCTGATGATTTTAAACCAATTTTAAAGATTTTACTTTATTTAGGTTATTTTAGACCAATGAAATTAATGTATAGATTGAGTTGGTTGACTAATTTAAGAGAAGCAATAGGTAGATCACTATTTGATATTTTTAATGTACTTATTACTTTACTTTCTGTATGGATGAT